GTTGCCGTATTAATACTGGATCTTATCTCTTCATCCTTATTAGAAGTTAAACCATGTACAAATATCAGGCATTTAAATAAATCAGGAGTTGATTCACTTAACTTGAAATTTTCACATTCTCGATTCACGACCCCTGCATAAGTGACAAAATCTTCATCATTGGACTTTACTAAGTTAAGACATTGTGATCATGTATTAAATAAAGAACACCTATCACCAAAAATTTTTGATAGTATTAGAACAGTCTCATCAAAATTTATCTCTCCTGTTTTTTTCAGCAAAATATAATTTACATATTTTTCATGTTCAGCAGGAGACAATTTCCTTAATAATAACTGAATTTTCTTTTCATCATTCCAATGTGAACAATCCCTTTTGAAGATCCCTTCATATCTTCTATAATAAGCTGGAAATGTTATCCCTTCATCTGGATTGTACACAAATTTGATGATCGAATTAGCAACAGTGTCTGGAGTGAATGAATCTGAAGTTTTTCCTTCCATCATTTTGGTAAACAACTCAAAAATCTTCTGTTGTTGTAGTTGTAATTGCTGTTCATGTTGTTATTTTTGTTGCTGCACTTGTAGTTCTTGTCATTGCTTTTGTAGCACCAAAATTTGAATCATGATAGCTTTTAATTCCTCCATTCTGCTGTACTCTGCTGAATATTTTGCAGATTAATTTTTTCCTTGTGTAAATTGAACAAATCCTCATGTAAGTTCAAGGAATCCATGTGAATCCTTTTGTGATGTCAATGAACACTCGTTGCCACTTTCATAATGCTCATTGCAGTAGAGACTTTGTAATCAGAAATACAAAAATAGTAATGCCATCGAACAATACTGGTGTCAGACACCTTCAAATAACACTCGCACTTATAGTACTTGCATGATAATACTCACTCAAAAAGTAACCCATATAGTGATCAGTATAGTGAATAGTATAGAAAATAGCAGACCAAATAGTAATAGAGGATAGAATAGAAATCATGATCTTTTAGACGCCACACTAATTCCCATATATATTTTTCTTTTATGGTCACATGATCTATTTAATTCAATAATAGAATCACCCATGTTTGCTCCCTGTCGGTCTATGTTCAAACTCCAGTGTCGGCAATGACAGTTTATTCCTATATAACACAATTACAATTTTAATGCTTTTTGACATAACATGTTGGAATGTATTTTCTGTTCATGTCTTCCACCCAGGGAAAAAGTTCGAATTAATAAAGTTGCCATTCTCAAAGTCATTAAAGTCATTCTCAAGAAACAATGTGGTGTATGTATGGTAGTTAGAATTACTAAAATAACTGCAATGGTCAAAAAAACAAAACAATAACAAAATATGAACTTCAGACAGTTTATCCACAACTTCCAACACAATACTGAAAACCCTATTTACAAATTGGAAAAATACAACAAAAAATTAAACAGGCTAATCTTATTGGTTCTTTTTTATCAGACTTGTTTGAATGAATACTTGCTGACTAAATATACCTTTATCTATATATATATATATATATATATATATATATATACACACACACACACACATACACACAAGTTTATTATTTTAATAACTGACATGGTGTGTCTGTTTAATTTTTACAATTTTCAAATAAGGTGTTGAATATTATAATTGTTGTGGATAAACTGTTTAAAGTTCATATCTTATTGTTTATTCAAGTACATTTGAACATCAGTCATTATCAAGAACCAATGTGGTGTATGTGTGGTAGTTAGAATTCCTTTATCTACATCCTGGTATTCTTTGGGAAACTGGAAGTTTGAAATACTCTAGTGTGATGTCATGTGTAACAGTTATTGGAAATGAGGCTGCACAAAAAGAATGTAATGTATCTATTTATTTTATTGTATTTATTTTTTTTTAATTATTTTATTTGTATTTTTTTCTTATACTAATATAATATCTGCACATATTAATTATATCATATGTACTTCAAGATATTGTCTCCTGTAGTAATGATATTTTATTCAATGTAGGCTGTTTATTTTGTATAATTTCTAGTGTTTTGAGTCCTTCCTTGGATTGGGTGCTGTAGAGTATTTTGGTATTATCCACTAATATTTGGCTTATACTGATAGTTGTATTTTAATCATTCATGATGTGCTGGTGGATGTGTGCACAGATTGCACTGAGTTTTGACGCGTGACAGGTCAATCTGTGAGAAAATGTGTTGCATGTGTTCTTGATGAATAAATTTAATGCTATTTTTTATTATTAATGTTGGAGATGCAATCTCATAGGGGTATTTTTGAAGTTCAATGTTGTTGGTAACAAATAAATTAAATGTTTTAAACTTTTTATAGTGTTTGTTAGCCTTGTCGATTGATATATATCAGTAAAATATGTTTTTAATTACTTTTTCATCCTGTTTATAATTAGGGTGCAGCTAGTTATGATAGAATAATTTAATGGTGTGTTTGTTTTTGTTTGCATCAAGATGTCTTGCATTACTTTTTCTAAATTTCATTAAAGCTAATTTTATTTGTTCATCAACAACATGATTAGAGAAATTATTGTTGATTAGAGTTTATTTAATGTTGTTAAGTTTCTTATAGAATGTCTGAAGAAGAGATTATTTTGGGACCACATTTATTTATATGATTTAATGTATATTTGGGCAACAACCTTTCTTTTAAACATCTTTCATTAAATATGATAGACAAGGAAAATTTTATTTATTTTTTTATTTAGTCTTTCCAGTATTCTTACATTTTCCATTTGGTGGGAGTGAGGGGGTACAAATACTGTCCATATCATCCATTATTTCAGTCACTTCTTTAGCCATTTTCAAGGGTGGGGGGTTGTTTTGGCATTGTTAGTTTCTTTGCATGTTTTGACTGTTTGAGATGGGTTTTTGTATGGTTTTGAATACTAGTAGGAACATTTATTCCAAGCCCTCAATGACTGGAATATGAGTGGATGTTTTTCTATTTTTTAAAAAATTTCAGTACCCTGCTTCCATTGTTAAACAAGGTGAGATTGATAGTGAGAGAGAAATGTTTGATATACAGAGCCTCTCATATTGTGTGATGTTTTCAGTAATTTGATTTACATAGAATTTTAGTGGTTTTGATCAGAATATTTCTTAAGGGTTCTCGTAGATTATGAGTTGTTAAATGTTCTTTTATTGCACTTTGCTCTGGTAAGAGACACATGAGGTGTCTACTGAAGGAGGTGGTAGTATGTCTGATATAGGTAATTGATTTATGATAAAACAGACAGTCTTCTATGGGGCAGAGAGAGGGAGAGAGAGATAAATATAGTATACTTAAAATGTGAATATATATACATATATCTTAGATATACACAAAAATGCCAATGTTGTAAAATTAAAGAGCTCAATGTTAAAAATAAAACAAGATACAAATATAGACCTTAAATGAAATAATATAAAGGACTTCTCAGTCACACAACTCTCTGTTTCTGTAATTGGTTGTTTCATGCAAGTTAACAATCATCAGATAGGGATTCCTTCCTACCTGATGATTGTTAACTTCCTTGAAATAGTATTCTGAAAATATTAATGAAAAGCATTCATAAATTTAAATGTCCTTAAAGCTATGAAAGTCAGAATCATTAAATGGCAACTTTATTAATTTGAACTTTTCCTTTGGGTGAAAGACATGAACAGAAAATGTTCCAACATGTTGCATCAAAAAGTATTAAAATTTTAACTACATTTTAAAATAAGATGTCAGTTTCCTGACAAAGATTTTTGGATATATCTAGATTGCTTTTCTATTTTCTAGATTGTCCACAACAGATTTCTTCATCAGCATGAAAGCCATGAATATGAATAACGAGGTTCTATTGTGTGTATTGGCCATTAGCATTGTGGTCCTGCAAGACCATTGATTTTTGATGCTCAAGTGTTAGACTTTCATGCAGCACATTCATGTGGCTGCAATGTCCAATGTGTGAGAGGTAGACATATCCACAGATGTTGCATGTACTGGTCTGTTTCATTGATATTCATGATGTGGTGGTAAACCCCCACTGTTGTTTCTTGTATATAATTCCTTATCACTGCCTGCCAGTATTGAAAAGTCAGAGGTACATGACTGAAAATTTCTTAATATATATATATATATATATATATATATATATATATATATATATATATATATATAGGATTAAAATTTATCCTTAGCTGATTGATACAGGAAAAAAAAATCTGACCCCTAACATCAGAATTTGCTTTAGTGTCTCTTATTGATCAGGTTGGGAATTTTTCAGCACCTCCCTCATGTGTATGAAGTTGTTTGCATATGTGTACAAGTGTTTTTGTTTGACTAATTTAAGTTTTACAACTTATTCACCCTTTGTGGGTTATTTAAACATATTTCAGATTTTAGGAGGTTGGTTACAGTATCCTGTGTTCCAAGCAGGCTTCCATCTAAATACTGGCTGGTCTCTACACTGCTTAACTTTGATGATCGCATACATGGGTACATGTTGGTGCTATAAATAACATTTATGAAAAAGAAGCACAATATAATTTGTCAGCTCAATATTGGTGATTTTATAATGGTGAGTAATGAAAGAGAATTCAAAAATTTGTGATAGGAAAGTATTTTAAATGTTAACTTAAAAAAGGCTCATGTAGAAGGAAAATAAAACAATAAAAAAGTGAAGACAGTGTCCAGTTCATTTGTCTGGTGGTAACAAAAGTTCTACTTACAGATGGAAGGTTCAAAGGCTTTTTCTTTTGGATACACGTTGCCAGACTTCATACAGTTATATTCAAGAAAGAAAGTGATTCCACATGATTGGATATAAATTTATAGGGAACTCAGTTTTACTTTGACCAGTGGCTGTAGTGAGAAAGTTCCAATTCAAAGCTTTTTGAATCTTACTATGTATTGGACAAGGAAAAAGGAACATGTCACATGATAATTATGTGACTTCTTATATTGGTCCTACACTAGAAATTATATGATTTCCACTGAAGGCTCATATTTGGATAGCCTTATGACCATATCACATTGAAACACCACTTCCTGTATGATCACTGAAGTTAAGAAACATTGAGCCTAGTCAGTACCTAGATGGGTGACTGCATGAGAATACTGAGAAGCATGGATGTGCAGGTGGTGTGATAGATAATGGCTCAGAATTATAAATCAGAGAGCTGAGTTCCAATTCCAGTTGGGTTCATTATATTCACTTACACACAAATACCCTTGGGAAAGGTATTAATTCACCTCTTCTCCCTCAGCTATGGGTTAATTATTAAGGTTTTTATAACTAAAACCATTATTATCTAAACAAAAAAAATTGTGTACAAAATATTTAGATTTCGTCATTAAATATTCCATAGAGAGTGATATGTCACTAAGCAAAAAAATAAAAACAACCTATTTGGATAATGGATATTTTAGACACATGTGACATTCATACTACTTGTGAAGTAATTATTATATTAGGGCCTTGAAAATTCTTTTTTGTATATTATTTTCTTTTTACTATTTTAATTAAAAATATAATGCAAAATACTACAATACACAGGAAGTTGATTATGCAGAATAATGACAGTTATTCTTTTTGGAGAATACAACCTTTCTTCCTGCATTTGTAATTTTAGAAGGATACTGTGGATGCTGCAGGTCAGGTAAGGCTTCGTCAGAAATGTCAGTCTTGGCAGATATGTCCTTAGAGGCAATGTCACAATTAATAATTGATTTTTGCTCTGGGCAGTCTTGGTGACATCACAGGCTTCTATTTGTTCAAAGACACATTTTGTTTGTTGTCAAAGTGCAGTTGAACACTGAAGTATTTTTTTTATTTCAGTGTAGGTGCTCAGCATAAGAGACCATCAATGGCCACCTTACTCCTGTCAACTTTAGCCACACATTGTTTTTGGTCCTAGAGAATCGACATTGTGAATACATCCTTCAGTGCCCACTTTAAGTATTCCTGGTGATAAATGACGACCCTTTTCATTGGGGAAATCCATGCCCTCTTTATCAACTATATACCTGTCCATCACACACTGTCTATGTGTGACTCTGCATGTGCTCATGTAATGTATATACATATGTTTGTGTTGTGTGTGAGTGACCTGTGCTTGTGTTATTTAACATACACACTAGCACACACACACACACACACACACACACAGAGAAACACACCAAATTTGACTGAGTTTGAAATAATATATTCCCCTCACACTTAGCTTGAACGAACCCTATCCTGGGTTGAGCATCATAATCATAATGTTAGAAATAAAAAAAAAACAGCTCCATGGCTGTCAAATTGTTTCTTTGCCTACATGTATGCATGGCTGTCAAATAAAATAAAAATAAATAATCAGCTTTTCTTTCTCTTACCCACTATGATATCTTATCAATAATTATTTACCTCTGTTTCTATCTATTGATATCAGTCTATTCACATTTATCTATCTCAGTCTATTTGTCTCTATCTATATCAAACTGTTCATCTCTATCATATATCAATATCTGTTCATTCATATCTATTTATTGTTACCTAGAACATTACATTATAGAGATGACCACAAAGTAAATGTTCAGTTTATTACTTATGATGATAAAGTAAATTTAGGTTAAACTTTCAAAAGAATTAATGGCCACAAAAAGTGAATTCAGGTCAAAAGAGCACAAGTGGAATGAGAGAAAAAAATGGCATGGCTAATTAGTCAGCAAAAAACCTGTTTGTTTTTTTAAGCAATAAAAAAATCAGATAATTAATATATTTTATTGAAATTTTCAAAAATTATTTGGGGATAGATAAGATTATTTAAAAAAAATTAAAATTTTGTAGAAATATTTTGATGTCTGTCATTGAATTAAAATATGTATGAGAACACTCAACTGTACATAAATACACACTTTGAATGAAATTGAAATGGACATCTGTGCTACAAGAGGTAATTTCCTTTTCTGTCTGGCAATAACACTTGGATAACAGGAAAATAGTATAAGCTGAAATGTGTGGCCCTTTGAAGTCATTTTTATAATTCCTTCTGTATTTAAACTGAATATATTTTCTAATAAATGGAGTACTTTAAATAGAAAAACAATTTAGATTTTCTACTGTTAGGTTGCATTAGGTTAAGTTAGGTTGATCCATTGCCAAGTTGCACTATTGGCAAAGCATTTAACCAGTTCTTTTGTCTTATTATAATGGTCATCATGCTGGTTCTGTGTGTCATTTCAATGAGGACCTTGGATTAAGCCATGGTTCTATGAAAACCTATCAAGGTTGACAACTCATAGAAGAGATCCCTTTTGAATTCAATCTCTTTGTTTGCAATGATGGGAAAAAGAATTTCATAATGGGAAATTTATGCATGTCCACTGTTGCAGCATTTTGTCTCATATCTCACTACATCTGATGGTTCTTTTAATCTATGTATCTTGTCAGAGAATAATATATATTGTTTTGATTGATGGTTTGCAATAATGAGCCTAGAGTATCAATGTGAACAGTTTCAAATTGAGTAGAGGGCAATAAGACTACATTTACTTTCTATTTGGCATCACAATTTACTAAAAACTAAGGTACTCTTTCATTCATGAATGGATATTTTTGTCTATGTCTGACCAAAGATAGCAAAATTTGATTAGCTTCATGTAGCTGTATGTTCTGGATGTGATATATTTTTGAATGTCTCAAAAATTACCTTTCCTGGGCCTTGTAAAAAGTGTTGGGACATCAGACAATATTATCTTATCACTTACAATGTAAGACTTTAGTCTGTCAGCATATAGTTTTATTTCTGAGTCATTTTGTTGGGTTATAATTCTTAGCAAATCACAAAGGTCTGTAGTAACTGAATATTCTGGTCTTAAAAGACAGTCAACTAAAATATAAAAGATATCATCAACATACTCTGTTACTAAAGACAAGTGTTTTTTTTTTTGCACAATTTCATTGGTGTTGTCTTCTTAAAAGCCAATACTAGAAGTTTATGTTGATTCTTAAAATGTCAATACTAGAGCTTTATGATCCATGAATAATCTCATGTGTCTATGTTCAATCTGAGGTTTAAAATGTACCACTTCTAAATAGTTCACAACAAAAGGTAGACCATTTCTTTGATTCTCTGAGAGTTTCTTCAAGGAAAAACCAGTTGGAATCATTTTGTTAATGACGATATGATGTAATGTTGGTCCAACAGCATAGCTAGAACTATCAGATAGTAAGTGATAGTGAGTAATATTTGAATCAGGATTAAAAAATACAATCAGTTTCATAAGGATTCTCTTGATATTTAAAAAGGCTTCTCTTTTGGCAGAGGCAATTTTTTAATATTAACATTCTTTCTAATCAGCTTTGTAAGTGGCAAAAGAATATCTGCAGTTTAGGGAAAAAGTTTTCTATAGAAATCTAGCATTCCCAGAAACTGAGAAATTTACTTTAATTTAGTAGAATCAGTGAAATCATTTATGTCTTTGGTCTTGTCTACCATGGGATTTAGGCCTCCTGGACCAAAACTGTGTCCCAGAAAGTCTCCTTGAAGAATTTGCACTTGAGGTTGTTGTCTTGAAAAATTCCAAGTACTTGTCTTAGACTTGTAGAATGTTGTTGTTCTGTTTCTGAGAAAGCTAAGACGTCATCTACATATACAAATATACAACTGACATGGGGGAATATGTTGTTCATGAATCTTTAAAAGTTTGTAGTTGCATTTTGTAAGTATATACAGATATTCAAAGAGTCTGAAAGACATAATAACTGTTGTCTTTTCTATATGCTTCTCTCTCATAAGTACCTGACAAGACCCATGCAGTAGGCCTATTTTTAAAAAATTCTTGCCCCGTGTGAATGCATGAGAGAACTGACAAACTGTGCAAATTATGTTGAAGGATATTTTATTCCATCAGATACATATGCAGCTGTGAAAGCTCATTGGCACCATGTGGGCTAGGCAATTTGACTTATAGCATCAGTATTGAATGAACTGAGCATGATGGAAAAACAGGTCTGACTGCTCCAAGGTCTCTGTCTGAAAAGAAAATTTTCTGCAAGACTCTTGCATAGGAACCAAATTACTGAGCACTAGAAGCAGAGGACCTGCTAAACTTTCAGTCATTTATATCATTAGCCCTTCAGTGTACTTAAAAAATATCCCTTTTAGATTATCTGATTTTTATCTTGACTATGTAATATTTCTATTAATTTCTTTGTAGAAATCATAAAACTATAGGAACTATTTCATTTGGCAAAATGCCCTGAGAGTCGCCAGGTCACTGGTGATCTCAGACACTGGGTGCGGTTGGCAAAAAACTAACCTGCTGATTCTATTGACAAGTGTATGATGGCAGCCACAGGTACCTGTCTGAGTATGTAGCTATATTCAAGTTTCTATCATCCCTATACACTTGCTATTGTTTAGGTGTGGATATGGAAATATATGCAAACCTTATAAACAAAGAGACTTTGACTATCTAACAATACCTTATTGAAGAGTGTTGTGAATTCTTCTTTTACAGTTTTATACTTATCATTAATTAATTATCCATTTTTAGCAAAAAGGTGTGTATTGTCTCTTGTATCAATGGCTTGTCTTACTTTTGACTGAGAAGATACTGGTGACTGCATTCTAGGTATCAATAACTGTTTGAATTTGTTTTGAAATGTTTGGATAATTTCAGGAACTTTTCGTATATCAAAATTTAATGGATAAGGCTATTCAACTTGTCTTGCCTTGTAAGTAGTATTTGGTTGTTTGATTAATAAGTCTACCCTTTTTGCAGTCCAGTAGGAGGCCACAGTGACATAAAAAATCAGCATTTAAAAGTGAATTGGTGATATCCCCAACAACAGTCCATTGATATGAACAACAAAATCTTGGAATGTCAATGTTCACTGATGCTTCTCCATAGCACTGAATATCATCTCTCTTGGCTGAAGATAGGATTTTTTTACAATGATAATCACCCTGTACAATGCCTAAGAGCCACTTGAGGCAGAAGTTTACAGAGTAAGATGCACAGTTTATGGACATATGTGGGGAAGATAAGGGTTAACTTTAGACTTGAACAGGTTAAGATTGCAGTGATAAAGGAATCATCCTCTTGTGAGTTAGTTCCACAAAGCAACAGTTCA